AAAATTAAAACTATAAAACATACCCAATATCAGGTAGTTATAGAGAATGTGTTGCTTTAAAATCTTTACAAAATTCCTCAACTTTGCCTTCACTTCCAAAGAAGACAATCAACCAGTCAACAAGTTTAGCTTCTACTTTGTGAAGAGAAAAAAATAGGTCATCTTTACAATATCCCTCAACTTTGCTTTCAGATCCAAATGAACCCCCTCAACCAGTTTAGAAGTTAGCCTTATATTTTGTGATGAGAAAACAAATGGATCGCAATATACTCACTTTCTCTTCGAATTGTGGAGAGAGAGAGAGAGAGAGAGAGAGAGAGAGCTACCAAACATTTCAGCCGAAGAAGATGAAAACATGAAAAAAATTGCGGGCCTTTTTGAAAATTGAAATGCAACTCAAATTCTGCCCCCTTTCTTGTTATTTGGTGGGTCCATACGTATGGTATAAGAGGCAGTATCTAAATATACATGCTATACGCTTTTCACTTTTGATATTTTTACATTATACTTATTTGAGCAGCAACAAATTACTATTACGCCGGAGACGATTTTGGTCCCCAAAGAGACTTTTGGGGCTCTTTCTGGGAACCAAATAGATGACGTCGAGCACAAGAAGGATCCAGAAGAAACGATTTCACCGACAAAGCCCAAAGCGTTGAGTCCTTTACAACAGATAAACAAAGTCAACTTTGTCGACCCGGCCTCATCGATCAGCAAAACAGCGCTGATAATCCAAGGCGTAGCTGGACCAATATTCGCCGGGGCAGACACGACCATGGATTCGTGGGATGAACACTTACGGAAAGGAGTCCACGGTTGAAACAGATGGCCTGGATCGGCGACAAAAGAAAAAAGGAGACTCGCCAATGAAAAATAACACTTAAAAGGAAAAAGCGGTCTAAATCACCGATTGCCAAAGATCATGCCGGCTGAGTGTCTTCCCCACTAGCAAACACCCGAATCCGAGGGAATGAGAAAAGAAAAACAACCAACAAGGAAACCGCTGGGCAAAAGTGAAGAACGGTGGAGAAGGATATGGACCCAACCGATTACCACCGATCAAAACGCCCAAACCAACAAACCGCAGAATCCCTGAGCCCCTCCAGGCCGACCACCCATAGAAAAATCCAACTAGAAACTGGAGGGGAGAAAACCCAACCAAAGACAACAGGGAGAGAAGAAAAAAACCTCTGATGAACAGAGGAACCTCTACGGAGAGAGGAAAACAAAACTCTGATGAATATAGAACAACCACAGATGAAAGCAAGAGACGATCGGAAAGATTTGGGAAGGAGGGGGAAGATCAGATTGGGGTTTGATATTTCTCTCTCTAGAAGTTAGAGAGAGAAAGTGAGCGCCTCCCGAGGAAAATTGATTAAATATTAAAATAATTGACGTTTTACCAACCCTACATTGAGTGTTGAAACTTTTATTTTTCTTTTCTAAAATTTGGGCCAAGTGTTACGTTGAGGTTCAAGTTTCTAATGGACACATTGAGGTTCAAGTTTCCAATGGAATAATAATACATGGGTGTATGACTTACAATCCATTGTGTGTGACTTCTCAATATTATATGAGTCATGTTTCTTGTTTTTTTTCTTTTTTTTTAGCGTTTAATAGAGTATTTAAAATTGTTGCTCAAGCTTATGTTATTAAAAATAAAAGCTTCGTTTGGATAGGGAGGAGAGAAAAGAAAATAAAGGATTAAAAGAGAAAATAAAGGATTAAAAGAGAAAGGATAGCTATAATGATTGGATAGATAGAAGAAAAAAGAAAGGAAAATATAATATTCTTGTTTGAATAAAACAGATGAAAGAAAAGAAAGAAAAGGATAATAATGAAATTACTGTATTACCCTTTTATATATTTTGATAAATAATTATTCATAACTTGACAACAAACTGGTTTTTTTTCTCTCCCTCAGTTTCATTGGAAACTAAAATTAATAATAACTAGAAAAACAAGATAACTTGATAGCATACCGTTGTTGTTGCTGCTATTGTTTCTTTTTTTTTTTTTGATAAGTAACTTGATAATATACATATAACTTGATAGCATACTTCGAAGATAGATAGATAGATATGTATGTCAGATTTTTATACCATATTTTCTCATCTCTTCGTAAACTTTAGGGGTTTTTTTATTTTTTATTTTTTGAATAATTAATACCAACTAAAAGTTAGTACATTCTTTATTAATAGACAATTTTACTATAAATCAATGTCTACACGTAAGATATGCAATACATTGTTCAACATGCTTCTTAACTTGGATAAAAGAGTGCTACATATATATGGTTCTTCTATACCTGTAACACCACAAAAAAAACAAAGCAAATACACTGAATTGAAAGCATCGAAATCACTTATTGATATGTTTGCATAGCATATATATATATATAGATATATGGAGAGAGAGAGAGAGAGAGAGAGAGTACATATGAGCTCTGCAATCAAAACTGACAAAAATAATGAAACGAAGAAGGATTTGAAGATAATTTGGGTTAGGTCAATACCTTGATGAGAGAAAGCAGGTGAATTTTTGTTAGAAACGCAAGAGAAGAGGTTAATACCTTGATGAGAGAAAGCATGTGAGTTTTTGTTGGAGACGCAAAAGAAGAGGAGCGGCGCTTTGCAGATGCGAGAGAAGAGGACTTGAGAAGCTGCTGCCCTAAATTGTATATAGAAATTGGAAGGTTAATTCTGTCTTTGTCATCCTTTCCCCTCAAATCTTCTCAAATCTTCTCAACTTTGAGAGGATTTGTTTTTACTGTGCTAAAGGGATTTGGAGGGATATATCCCTCCAAATCCTTTCTAATCATTTCTTTTCTTCTCAATTCCCTCCACCCAAACACACTAAACTCTATCCTTCCTCCAAATCTCTCCAATTCCCTCAATCCAAACGAAGCCAAAGTGAATAGAAATAAATTAAATCAACCGAGTTTAAGTAATTCTTGGAGATTTTGTCTCATATTGCAGTCCTATGTCCTAGCTTATCTTTCCACCACATCCTTTCTCAAACCCGATTCTTCATAAACAAAACTTTATTTGTGTGAAACATTGATTTACATAAACTATATATATATATATATACACACACTATTAGATGAAATATGCTTGAATATATATTAGATTGAATCCAACCACCAACTGAATAATTTAAGGCAGCATTTGGTATCTATGTGTTAAGTTTATGATGTGGAAATATAAGACGCAAAATAAGAAGATGATATAGAGCAAGAAAAGATTAAAAACATTATATATATGGCACTAAGGATTACATTCATGGATCAAGAACCGTTGAGGCTACATTTTTCTTATTACTTTCTAAGTTTACATTGTATTGATACACAATATATAAAAAAATAAAGTTCCACAAAAAGAATAAATCAAAGAGGAAAGAAGGGAAACAATATGAATAAATCAGGGAGGAAAGAAAGGAAAACGAATATAATATATATGTAGAGTAGTGATAGATGGGCCGATGAGTTTGGCAGAATACACATGACAGTCCAGGTAAGCAACTTTAACAATTAAAAAAATAAAATAAAATAAAAGGAGAAACGATATACTCGTCCGTAAATTTATCTTTCCCAAGCCGTCAAGTTCTAAGCTAAGTTCTTCTCTTCTGATATTTATCAAATCTCTCTCCTTCGTTTCGTCTATTCAAACAATATTTCTTATCATCTTAACTTGAAGAGAGAAAGAACTTTTAATTACCAAAAAAAAAAAAATTAGAAAGAACTTTTGATTTTTAAAATATGGTTGCAACTTCATATCATATATCATATTCATATATATTTATATATATTGTATCATATGTGTATTTTTTTTTTTTTTGGAAGATAAATATGTGTATTTATTTGTTTGATTATATTGTTCTTCACAGTCTTTAAAAATTTTCAAAGAGATATTAGAGAGAAAAATAGAATGAGAAAAAGGAGAGAGGAGAGATGAGAGAGAAAGAGAAGAAAGTGGCTTAGCTAGACAGGCCACGTAATTTCTGTCCAAGTACGTAGGTTGAAATATCATTTTTCATATAATATATATTTCAATACTATGCTGTCAATATTTTGATTGTTAGTACACTGACAGTTGAGGCTTCTTTGTTCTCATTATTTTCATTTAATATGAAGAAATTAATAATATTAGTGATGTATAAAACTAAAACATTCTGTTTTTCTTAACTGCAAATGTGACCATTATTTAATAGCCTAAGAACCAAACAACTTGCCTCTTTTTGCTTGCTTTTGTGTTTTGTATCCACTTTTTCTTTAGTGCCTTTTTAGTTTTTCCACAAAAGCATTCTTCTCTTTAGTGGTATTGTAATTTTATTAGATCTTTTGGACCACGATGAAGACCCATATTATCTCATTGGTAATAAGAGCTTCTCATTAGATGACCTTAAATCACGTAAAGAAGGCGTGAAAACGGTAAAATTAAGTCACAAATAGTAAAAACAAGAACGAAAATGCACACAGAGTGTGAGAGCGACATCCATTAAGAAAGATCGTGTAACTTAGTGGATGACCCCACCCTTACCAAGTTTCTAGCCCCAGCCCCATGACACGAGTGATCGGTTCACTAAATTTGATTCGTCCAGAAACTAAAGATCCGTTCTACCACCTAACTGCGTTACGCCGGCGATTATGTATCTGACCCACTTTGCTTCTCAACTAAATACAATTCGTGGGTTCCTCTTTCGCTTGACACACGTGCCCTGCCCTAACTCTCCATGGTCCCCCCTACCCCATGTGGCTTTGGCTCACAAAGTTACAACCTTTTGTTTTGCTTGCTTGCCTCTTAGTGTGGTAGCACCCTTACCAAACTATGGAGACAAATTGGAAGCTCTCTCTCACACGCACACAATATGGTTGGTGGTTCAAAAAGAGAAAAAAATAAAAATAAATAAACTGTGGAGATTAATAAGCTTTCTCTCGTAAGGTATTAGCACAATTACAGAGACTTCTCCCGTTGATGCAAAATTACAACTATCCTCCCTTGTATATGTATATTTATAATAAATTCCCATCTACTTAAATGTCAACAAATTCAAATGACAGAATGTGCTTTCCATCTTTACACCATCCAACGGAAATGCTGGACAAAGATAGATTAGTGCAATCTTTGAATCAACATCAAATATACGTTTAATGACATGCAATGGGATATACATTTTTTTTTTCTTTCTTTTCACATACCTCAAGAAAGATGAGTATCACTAGGGGTACACTTTGTGTTGGAGGGTCATATTCATGTCCCCTGAACCCAAAATAATATTCTGTTACATAGCTCAACCTAAACACCATTTTAATACTGGTGTCAAGACCCTCATCACAAACATGACTGATGAAGGTTGTTCATACTGACCGTAGAGTAAGGCTGTGAAGGCAGTATGCTTGCGCCGAACCAAATACTTGACAAGATTTTGTATGAAACCCTAACTCCTTGCAGACGTTCGATAAAATGCCACAATCATGAACCCATAAGAAAACCCCCAGTATGAAGTAAAAACCTTGGAGCTAATGGAGCTCACCAAAAGTCCACTGTGAATGATCGGAGATTACACACTCGCTGTCTCACTCTCAAATCACTCACCAAAACTCACTACTTGAACTGAAAACACCTCACAAACACAAAATAAAGATACAGAAGATGATGTATAATTTACACTAAACCTATAAAAGACTGCAAGAACTGAAGTGAGGAAGATGGAGCCTCAATCCTTGCTTGTTAGCAGCTTCATTATGTTGGATTACACTTCCTTGAATAAAGTTCTCAGTAAGATGCAGCAAGGTTGTATTAGACTTGAGATGCGAAGCGCTTTGCTGGATGTACAGCAGCAGTGAATGGTTCGACACAGATAAACTTGCTGCAGAGTGAATACAAGCATGATGCCGCAAACTTGCTGCAGAGTATGGAAAGTTTGCTCAAACCATTTCTGTGATCAGATGAAAAGTGTAACTGGATTGCCATACGCTTGAGCTCTAATTGGTTGCTGTCAGCACCTTCTACAGCTAGCTGAGAGGCTGCAGCTACTACTAATACAAGAATTTCACAAGCAAAGTCATTCTTGGGTTCTGATAAGCTAGGTAATCTGGATCTCAGAAATTTTTTGCTCTCAAAGGCTCAGGTAGCCGTGGAATGAGCTCACTCTATTCTGCTGCTGCAAGGCCTTCTAAAATAGGAAGAAGATGATGTATCTGTTGGAGAAAAAAGGAGCTAGCTGTCTCAGAGAATTGCCGGCAATTTTCTGACCATTTGCATCTCTGAATAGACCTTTTTTACCCTTGCTTTTTTTAGAGCAATACACAAAAGACACAAAAGACCTCGTAACTCAAATTCTGTTGTGCATCAGCAAGGGACACAAGACATTCTCTGAGAATACAAGACTCGAGAATATAGGATACCTATTGAGCACATGATTGGTCACCTGCATTCAGAGGTGAAAGACAGAAATGCCCTTTGAGGGCTGTTAGTGCATAGCTGCTGATGTACATCAGAAAAATGAGCACAAGTGAATAATATTGTCACAGGGACATATGAAATCTTAATTATGCAGAATCACTTTGCTGGACAAAACAAAACATGAATGAACTAATGTACTGCAGTGAGCCTATAAGAGATGAGATATAGATGACCTGAAGTTAATGCATTTTATATGAAGGACCAGAAGAAGTATAGTGTGACTAATGCCTTGACATTAAAAGGACAAACCACACATGGAGCATAGACCAATACTGACTCGTTTATTAAACAGGTAATTGACAGGACCGTGTATAACTTGTTTAATAATAGGTCATGTAATTTACAATACAGTAAGACCTGCTTAATAACCTATTTAATCTGCTTTTCTTTCAAAAATTGTATTAAAAAAATTAGGATAATTCCTAGAAAAACATCTTTAATGAATCGGATTATTGTATACGTATAAGAGAACGAGATGATACATACATACATACATATATATATATATATATATAGATTCTGTATAGTGATGAAGATGTTAGTTTGGTATATTAAAAATAGTTAGAAGGTTAAATGGGTAATTCAGCATTCCAATGGGTCAATTGATAAGTTCAATTGATAAGTAAAAGGTTAATAAGGTAATTTTACTTGTGTCAAAGGTAGTTAGGGTGTAATTGTTCAATTTGGCAAATCTAGAGGGCGTCATTGTCCAAACAGTGTCCAGTGTCCAAGTTGTAGCTAGGTGTCTTTAACCCAAACCTGGGGGGTGAGTGCAATTTACTCTTACCCTTTTTTTTGTCTCTTTGTTATATACTAAATTCTCTCAAGCAAATTGCTTTCACAATAACACATTGCCATATCATTAGCTACGTCATTGGCCACCTAATTCGAGTTATTCTTGTGATACAATAATTTGTGATGTCTAGCATTTTCCCAAAAAATTATTATAGATGATTTAAACCTACATTGAATTAGTTGAGTGTTTTTATTTTTTTTTTGATACTTTACCAAAATATATGTAAACCCTAACAAAATACCACATTATTCGCGAAGATAGAGAGAGAATGGCGGCGGCGATTCCCCAAATCACTTGTAGGTTCACACCGATGAAGGCAAAGGATTTAATAATTTTACATCCATCAGTCGTTGCGAGAAACGGATTGGATCTTCAAAGAAACCTCAGTATCAAGAGAGGTATATTTGTCGTCCAAATTTTTTAAATCGTATATCGATAAATAACTGTTTTTTTTTATTATTATTATGAAATTGTGCATTTTTGTCCAGATATATTTGAATCGTATCTAAAGTCAATCAATAGATAACTGTTCTTTTTTTAATGAAATTTTGTGATTCAAGACAATGTTTGTACATTTTGTGCGTATCCAATGAATAAATTGCTCACTAATCTGATCCAACTAAAACAACTAAAACAGATCTCATTATTTATCTTATTTCTCTATTGATATATGTGCCATTGATCTGATTATTTAACTTAGTCTCTGAATCTGTGCTCACTAATATAAATAAATATGCGTTTGAATTGATATGAATTTGCATAATTACTTTAGATTCATTTTAATTTTCAGGGATGAAACCTTGGAAAGGGATCATCAGCCTTCAAAAGGGCAAAAATCATCCGCTTGGTAGTTTTATACCAACTTAATGTTCAACTTACATTTTATATACATTTTATAATGAACAATGTTATGAATACAGGAAATTCCAAGTTAACCATGAAAGCCAAAAAAGGATGATAATGATATGGATAATGGAAAAGGGAGTGATAATAAGGATGCTAACAAGAAAAAGAGGGCCGATAAGGATGATGATTCCTGCAAGAGAGGTGATAGATATATCACTAATTTATGTCAATGAATTCTGTGCACCTTCTCTTTTTATCAAGTCTTACATTAACAGATTGTGTGTTGCTCTTCCTGGAAGAGAGGTGATGGATATACCACTACTAATTTATGTTAATGGATTCTGTGCACCTTTTCTTTTACAGAACTTGTGTTGATCTTGCAACTGTTAGCCTTCGGCTGTCTAACCTGGAAACTCAGGAAGCCAGCAGAAATTCCTGCACCTCCAGTTACTGTGGTAATGACCGAACAACGAGTGAAGGAGATTGCCCCCCTCATCATTTCTAATCAGAAAAAGGATCGAAGCAATTGATCAGAAGCATATAAGCTGGTGAGGATTTAATATGATTAAACTTTTACTCTCATAACTACATACTTTTCTGCCGTGCATTTCAATAATAACTCATCAAGTGATGAGAACAAGCTACATAAGCTGATTACTGATGGGATTTAAAAAGATAGAAACTTTGTACTGTCATAGCTATTATTCAACTTTTCAAGTGATGAGAAGCTTATGCTTTCCCTAATTTCCATTCTATGCTTTTCAAACCTACTATTATCATAGATAGATTTTGATAGAGGACATACATGACATAATATTAAAAAAAAAAAACAGCTCACTGGGATAGAGGATAGAGAACCCATATTAAACTAGTAAAGAACTTTGTCAAGGTATTGCCATGCAGTACCTGGGGTGGAACATCCCCACCCGGATGTTACTTTAACCCTGCAGCTGCCTCCTCTGTCTCTGTCCTCTCTAAGGGACCATGGTCCATCTCAGGCAACCAACTCAGCTAGAGGATATGGAGTAATGAGCGAGCTGATAGCCTGCAAGAAACATCATTTTCTACTTGGGTTAGGTTCTACAATATTCCTTCGCAATTTCTTGACCACAAATGAACTAAGTTACATTGCAAGTGGGATAGGAACACCGCTTTATGCTGATGATGATAATCAGTCAAAAAAAAAAATTTGTTGAAGTTTGGTAGAACATGTGTTCAGATTGACAAGAAAGGGAAATTAACTTACTAAATTCACCTCAAGAGCAAGGACAAGAAGATCACAGACATTAGAGTGGAGTACCAATCGCTCCCTACGGACGTAGGAAGCACGGACACGCCAAAATGGGCGAAAAATCCATGTCCGACACATGTCAGACACGGATACGGACACGGACACGGACACGGACACACGCTCCGACACGTGTCGGACACACCAAAAAACATGTCTGGAATTTTTATTTTTTTTAATTTTCGGACACGGCACGAACACTCCGTGGACACACGCGCCCAGGGGGTGTGTCCAACACGCGCGTCTGGAAATTTTATTTTTTTTTTGAATGCAGATATGTTCTATTTTTTGTTTTGTACTACCCTTTTGGTATTGTAAATGGTAAAAGTCCTAGGTCAAATGATAGATGGGAATAAATGATAGAACACTGACTTGTTTATGTATCTTTTTTGGGGACTAGCCTTTAGGTTTTTGTGAATGTTAAGTGCTAACAGTAAAGTCCTGAATGTTAAACAGGCATGAATGCTAATAGTCCTTTCTGTCTATGCTTTTGTATTTAGAGTAAAGTTGCTATAATGATTAAATAATACTAGTTATTATTCTAATGTCTTGTTTTTTATTTAGTTTTATAACTCTGCAACATTGTTCTTTTATAGTTTATTAGTTATGAGTTATGATTTGTGTTTTTTTTCAATTGTGAGGTTGATGAAATATAGCAACACTCAGTAATTTTTAAAGTACTACATCATATATATATATATATACACACACACTATAGCCATGTCCCCACCGTGTCCGTGTCCTAATTTTTTTGGATTTGCCGTGTCCCCGTGTCCGTGTCGTGTCATATCCGTGTCCCGTATCCGTGTCCGTGCTTCTTAGCTAAGGACTGCCACTCTTGCTCATACCTGAACCATTCAGAATCAAACTGCCCTTTCACTCAACCCCTGAACCCTCAAACCTTGCAACTGATGCTCCTAGCCCCAAACTTTACCATCACCATGCAAATGATGATGCCCATCCCAACCATGAAGGTCATAACCAACATTCTGACTGGCAGGTGGGGTCACCTACAAGAAAAGCCCTCTCAAGCAAACTCCAGAGGAATTAATCCATCTATGCACAACAGTGATTCTAGAGACATGAACAGGTACCATAGTCTTAGCCCTACCAGATCTTGTCCTATCAACCCTCCCTCTCAACCGTGTCACCTCTCATTCCCACTCCACACCCTCGAGCCCCAAAAAACCAGCAAACCACCACAGAGTTGCCCTGCTGTCTCACCATCTAACACAATCACTGCCTCCATTCCCCCATTTCCATTATGCCAATTTCCCAAGACCAAGAAAACCAGAACAAAACTCACCAGCCACAAACTTCTTATTGACCTCTCTCCATTCAAACCACACACGTTCCAGTCAATCCAAACCAATAAAATCTCCCCTACCCAACCCAATGACATGTCAGTTGTCCCAGAAAGCCAATAGTTGTTAAGGACTCAAGGCGCACCAAGGCGCCAAGGTCCCCTAGAGCCTGAGACGCAAGGCGAGGCGCGCGCCCGAGTGAAGTGAGGCGCAAGTTGAGAAAAAAATTAAAAATGACATCTAATAAAGAGGCAATAGTAAATATAAAGATGCAAAATCATGTAAACCAAAAACTTGAGTTTAATAATTAACATACTAACTTAAAAATGAAAAAGGGAACTACGTTCAATAGTAACAAACATACTAATATAAAGATGCAAAAATCAACTAATTAAATAAAACCAAAACAAACATAGAAATGTTCACTTCTTCCTAAAGTCCTAAGAAGACAACACCAAAGGATCTAAACATCATCATCATCAATAAACATATCACAATCTTGATCACCACTTAAAATGTGTGTGTGTTTATGTTTTTGGCAATCGGTCATGCACAGAAGGCCTAACCTTCAACTACAGCCTACAGGGAAAAAGGCAAGGACAGAGATTTCAGAAGAAAAAAAACATACTAATAGTGCTGTGATTTCTGAAAAACAAAATAATCAGAACAGAGATTTCTTCTTCTCTCTTCTGGACTCGAGTGTGGAAACTGAGAAGGAGAAGAGTAGCAGCCAAAAAAAAAGAAGTTCAGACTTCAGAGACACAGATTTGTTAAAAAAGAAAAACAGAGCTTCCAGTTCCAGACTTCCAGCTGAAGAAGAAGAAGAGTAACACCGACAGATCTCAGAAAAATAAGAGGTGCAGAGAAACAGATTTAAAAAAAATAAAATAAAGTAGGAAGTTCAGCGACTAAGAGCAGCCAGAAAGAACCGCAACCATAAAAAAATAGATTTTCCAAAAAAGAAGAAGAATAGTAATAAGAAAAAGAACAAAATAACCATAGATTTCAGGAAAAAGGAGAAGAAGATAAGAGAAACAAACCAAAAAAATGAAGCGCAATTGCGCAACTCAAGAAAAAAATATTTCAGCAATTCAGTCGACGACGAAGGAGAGAGAAAAGAAGAGAGAAGAAGAGAGAGAAAAGAAGAGAGAAGATGAAGAGAGCTTACCTAATACCTTCAATTCGAGCAGATGAGCAGAGATGAGATTATGAGACAAAGAGGTCTTCAATCGCAGCGACGCAGACTTCTTAGTCCCAACTAGTGAGCCCTAGTCTTCTTTCTCTTTTCATTCACTCTCTCTCTTTCTGATTCACTTTCCTTTTTGTTTTTATTTATTTTCCTTTTTGTTTTGGGTCAAGTTGGTCAAAAGTTGACTTCCACCGCATCATATAAGGTATATATACCTTTTTCCTTTTATATTGTAAGAGTAAAAATACATTTAAAAAGAAACTTTAATCAGGCGCGCCTGCCTTGCGCCTTGGGATCCTCGCCTGTACATTAAAGGCGCACGCCTCATCAAAGGGGCTTTGCCTGGCTGTACTACAGGCGCAATTACCACACCTGTATGCGCCTTGCGCCTCGGGGGCGCGCCTTGGGCACCTTTGACAACTATGACCCAAGGTGAATCCAATAATAATGCTCAATGCATTCCCACTGCCCATATTCCAAACGATGACTTTCAGGTAGGAAATTGCTTCTGATGATTCCACCCTGTCAGCAAGCACAGCCAGTAATATCCAGAAACTCAAAGCAAAGGGCAAAAAGAAAAAGCGACTAGAGTCTTGAAGGGCTCAATTCCAGTGACTAGTTGGCTCCAGCTCCATAACATCCTTCCATTCCTGCCAAGATTACCATAGCCACATGGAACATTAGATGGGTTAATTCTCCATCTAAACAACAAAAAGTTGAGAATCTCATGTGTGATCAAAAGCTGGACATAGTGGCCATCTTAAGAGACGAAAGTGAACATTTCCAATTCCGACCAAATTCAATTGTTTATAGCAAATTCCTGGCCCTTTGAGCATAACTATTCCTTCTCCCCTCTAGGTAGGATTTGGATCATGTGGGATCTAAACAAAGTCTCCATTAGGGTTACCCATACCACTAACCAATCAAGTAAGATATGATCTTTATTAAAGATAGAACACCAAGTATTCAACACTTTCATTGAGAGAAATATTACATAAAAGGTTGAGAGAGAGAGAGAGAGCTGCGGAGAGGGAAAACAAAAAAAAGACCACTTGTGCCGGGTCTACACATTTGAGGTAGGAAATTGCTACCTTTTCTATACTTCATCATGTTAGCATGTGGAAAAATATGTTTGCTTTTAAAAACAACTTTTTACATGTGTTTACTACTCTATATATGTGTAATTAAGTTCTCTAAAACTATTATAACAGATTTGATGTTGAGATTTTTATGGATGTCAAATATAACGATAAAACATGAAAACTGTTACGAGACGTGTTCATTTCCCGTTAGGAAAAGGTAGTTGACCTTGAAATGGCGGAAGCCTAGTGAGACGAATTGTTGAGTGGGTGGAATGCCACCACCTCTAGAGGGGCAAAGTAATGCCCTTGAGAGGCGCATAGGGCTGCAACGACTGGAATTGAACCACTCAAAATGCATTGCTCGGTTGGCGATAAATGATCTCTTGTTTCTTGATTAATGATCTATGACATAGAACTGAAAGTTGTGATTGTAAGATTACTTATTGTCCCATGAAATCTTGATAAACTTGGCACTATGATTGGCATGGATTTCTGATTCACTAAACAGTTTGATTCTTCAATTATTTATATTATTAAAGATTTTAAAAAGTATAGTACCACCAACAGGCCTGTGGCCTAGCGGTACAAGGCTCCTACCTCCCAAAGGGAGGTCAAGCGTTCAAACCTCAGTAGAGGCAGTGTGTGTGAGTTTCCCAACTAGGAAAAAAAAAAAACAAGAAAAAGTATAGTACCATGATTTTGTTTCGTCACATGTTGATATATCTTGTTTATAGAATAGCAGCAAATCTTCCTACTGGCTGGCACGCTCACTCTTTTATACAATTTTCAGATTATGATGCTAAAGGAAACCAAAGAAAGGAGGGCAATTAGTTGGAGCAAGGGTTACGAGATATTGGCTTTAGGACTTGCATTACAAATATCTATTATGTTTTTGCAATTAATAAAGTTCAGACTCTAGACCATTTGAAGTAATTATGTGAGAAGTTTGATTTCTGTAAGTTTGGGGACTACTGTAGTTCTATTTAAATATTGGAGATTGTGGAGTTGTTTGTGATATGATGGCTGATAGTAAACTTATGTTTAACTTTGTGGCATTAACATACATATTTTCAATAACACTCCCTGCTTTGGATTTTGGGTTTTGGATTTTGAGATTGATTCAAATTTGTGGGCTTTTCAAGTTTTGGGGTGTGACACTGTTCATTCTTTTTCTCATTCCAT